CAATAATCACACTTAACTTACAGCCTAACTGGAGAAACTCTATCTCACTAGATTGCCTGGTGCTTCTTGGCTTTGGAAAGAAGAACATTCTATGCAAGATGCACGCACTTGAACTTGGCGTGTTAGGATTTTTCCTGCATTTCCAACCTATTCCGCCTCATTGGACGAGGTGCTTCTCTTCTTTGAGTTGAATGTCACCGTTGCTCCAGAGCATGGCCTCTCGGGATGGCGTCAGGGTCGGGTCTGGCCCCCGTCACCCTCCGCCTCCGCAGTCTCCTGACTCTCAGCCTTCAGCTCACCACACACTCATGCACGTGCACGGACCCTACACACACTCACGTGCACCCTCACACACTCCTACACACACATTCACACGCCCACGTACAGACACACGCGCACACACACACACACACTTGCACACTCGCTCTCCCGTCCGTCACCTCCATTTTTAAAATAATTTACCTTTCTTGGTCACCTCCTGAGCCTCCACAGCTGTGTTATTGACCTATCTCTGCTCTTCCTTCATGCAAAATTTCCGTGAACTACAGTATTGCCATTTTTCCAGCCACTTATGCATCATTCTTGTTCATTCCTGAAACCATTCCTTCTAAAGTCTCTCTCTCTCTCTCTCTCTCTCTCTCTCTCTCTCTCTCTCTCTCACACACACACACACACACGCACACACACACACAAGCAACCTGATAGTCAAAACCAATTTTCTGGTTTTAGGTACTCATGTCTCTCTCACTTAAAGGAAATACTCAGTACCTCTCCCACCCTGAGTTTTTTTCTCCGTGCAGGGCAAATGGGCTGATGCATGACCCGGGGAAGGTTGTCTTTGTCCCCATCAACCTGGGTGCACGTTAATCCTCAAGGCTACACCCTCCACACCTCCTCGCCTGCATCCCTAGCAGGGATGAGTCAGGGGAAGGGAACAGGGACTCGGTGCAGTTGTAGGGGAGGGGGCAGGGATTGCCCTTAGGTGCTGTCCAGGCTGGCCTCACGGCCTCTTAGAGCCCGGCGACTCCTAAAGTGCACCCGAAGTAAGAAATGCTCTGCTCTTGAGAGGTAATCAGATAAATGGTCAGGTTCAGGTCTGCCCATGGCTCCTTCCTTTTTTTTTTTTTTTTTTTAATTTTTTTTCCATGGCTCCTTCCTTAACAACTTCCTAAGGCCCTGGGTTTTAGGTACTGGTTCATAAGTATAGATCCATGTCGAGTTGGATTTCCAACCGTTGGAAGCACCTACCGAGCACATGCACACCCTACGGGGGTCAGCCCTGTGAGGTCGCCCTCGTAGCACTGTGTGTGGTCGTTGATGTACCATTGGCTTCCCACTGCGCTGGCCATTCGGGCTGGGCTCCAGCGCTGTAGGAAGCCCCTAGCACCTAAGGGTCTTGAGCTTCACCTAACTGTGCTCCCACAGCACTGCCTGCTGCCACGGGCAGCCCCCCCCCACACCTGTCTAACCCGTATCTGGGTGTTAACCAAGTAGCCAACCTGGGCCGAGGTGCCATAGCAGGATGCAGGGCTACTCCATTAGATTGCAACCGCGCCCTTCGATATGCATGGAATTTCACTCTGGAACCAGAAGGACGGGGATTTGCCTATTCGGGGATATATATGGATAAGAATTTTCAATCGTAATACACGTTAGTGTGCCTCGAACTCTCCTGTTGGGATCTCTGTTGCTCCTCATGAAAGAGAAGAACGGAGGTTCAACCTCTGCCCGTGTTGTTAGAGCCTCGTGTTACGACATGTGCTCACTCTTCTCAGGCGTCACAGAGCTTTGCAGCTGCAAGGCTGAGGGTTCGTGGTGCTCAAAAGCAGCCAACCAGCAGCTGGGAGGGTGGCCAGTAGGTAGCCTTCCAGACACTCTCAGGAAATACGACGCTTCCTAATCCAGGAGAGTGGGTGCTGTGCAGAAGACCTATCAGACCCTGCCCAGTTTGTGTGGGTTCTGGGCCAGTTAGTGCAGCACAAACCCCGCACAAATCCTGGAGAACACCCCCCCCCCCCCCGTATGAGAGGCCAAAGGTCTGACTTCGGGATCATATGCTCTCCAAATAGGATTATCTTCACGACGGAAGACAGTGTGTCTTTTGAATTCAGGGGTCATCCCCGAGGCTAGGTGGGATGTAACCCATTTTGGGGTTGAGGACATTGGTGGAAGATCATACCCCACTAGCCAGCTGCTTGCCCATTGACAGATTCCCTTTAGAAACATCAGCTTCACCCAAAAACTCGGCTGCCGCTGAGTCAGCTTTTCCCCCCGGAAACCTTCTCTTGCCCACATCTTAGCCTATCCCAGCACAGCATGGCCTCCCTGATTCCTAGAGACGGAGGTCCCACCGTAGAGCAGGGACCATCCCGTTCCAAGAAAGTGCTGACGGGGAAACCGCTGCCCTCGAACATCTTTCATTTGGTTTCGCTGGGGTCATTTACCCAGGATGAGGGCAATCACTGCTTGGTTTCCATTGGCACAGAGACCCCACCTTGAGGAGGTTTGCGGGACTGATCCTAAGGTATGGTCCCTGTAGTGGCCAAGAAAACCCCGGTTCCTGCCACCTGTGATGAGCTCTTTTCTTGAAGGGATTTGAATTCCGGGTCATGGGCATGATGGATGGCCCAGAGGTCTAGACCCACAGTGGTGTGACAGTCTAAGGGCTGGTCCTCAGGTCCGGGGCATAGCCAAGCTCTCTACCCTTTTGCATTCATTGCAGTTGGTATAACTCCATCAGGGGCATTGCCCAAAAACGGCTGGCTCCGCACTACCTACGGGAACCAAAGATCCTTCCAAGACGTTCCTCAAGAAGTGGCGCGTTCCGGAGGCTTTGGCAGTGGGTTGGCTACTTAACAAAAATGAGCCTGAACACAGGGATGCTCCACAAATGTCTGTCGAGTAAATATACAGACTAATGGATGGGAGCCAATCTGTAGGTCTTCCCTTCCCGGTGAGCTACTGGCATGGGTTTTTATTCCTTACGCCATCTGTCCGATCATCTTGGACCCTGTACCCGGGCTGACACCATGCTGGGCGGCATCACACGCAGGCCCTGCCTTGGCAGGGGGGCTGCTTCCAGGAGGAATGATGCATCGCTCCTTTTTCTCCTGTCCTGGGGCTGGGAGATGTCCTCAGTGTCCTAAGGGCCCGGCCCCGGGGCAGCCAGACGGCCTCCTGTCGTGCTAACTCGGGAACCAGTGTTACCAGCATCTCTTCCAGCCACTCCGCTGCCCTGTGTCCCGGCGGGTCTCCCCAGCTCACTCACTGCTCCGTGGGGGAACCATGACTGCAGCCTGGACCTCCCTCCAAGCCGCAGGAATTTATTGGTCCACACGGCAGACACACTGGAAGGTTCCGAGGGGTGGTTTTCAGACTTGACGTGTGGCGACAGCTTGCCGGGGGGGGGGGGGCAAGAGCTCGGGATTTACTAGGCCTGGGGGGTTGCACTTCTAGGAAGTTTCCCGGGGAGGCTGACAGTGCTGGGCCGGGGACCATACTTGGAAAACCACTCCTCTGGGCACGAACTCCCTTGAAACTGGGGAAAGGAGACGAAGCGAGAGTGCTTCGCTTCCATTTCCCTAAACCTACAATATCTTTGGCTGAGGCCTCAAGTTCGTAGGAGAAAAGCAGTTCAGGCTTCCCCGAAGAAGGGGAAAGAAGGCTTGAGGCCTGAGGGGCGGGGAACCCTGAAACCCAGTGTTAGCCAGGCCCAGCTTAGTACCCGGGGACCCTGCGGGAGTTGGTCACATCTCCAAGCGACGCGAGCGGGTTGCGCCTTGTCCTCAGCTTCCAGAACCTTCCTATGTCGCGTCCCATCACTAAGACATGCAGAGCTTTACCTAGAATGTCTTCCCGCCCCACCCCACGCCGACAAACAGTCCTCCCGAACGGTCCCAGGCAGGGTCAGGCCTGTGTGCAGGTTTCTGGAAAAGGCTCTGGGGAACCAGTTGCCGCTCAGAAAACGAGTTACGGGTTTCCGTGCTGGGAGGAAGAGCTGGTATTGACTCTATTCCAGAAAAGGAAAAGCCGGGGGTAGTTTGACCTTAAACCTTCAGTTGACTGAGGGAATCGATGACACTTTTGGTTTTACTGCAACGGAGACCTTCACAAGGGAAATGCATGTAGCTGGGGTGGGAATCAGAATATGTCGAGCAGGGCGTTGACCCAGACGGAGCCTAAAAAGGGAATTCTGATTTTTCTGGGTGTGCCAGTCTGCAGGTGTCTTATTGGCATGAGCTTTTATTTATTTATTTATTTATTTATTTATTTATTTATTATTATTTATTTAAAATATTTTATTTATTCATGAGACACACACACACCACACACACACACACAGAGAGAGAGAGAGAGAGAGAGAGAGAGAGAGGAGAGGCAGAGACATGGGCAGAGGGAGAAGCAGGCTCCATGCAGGGAGCCCAATGCGGGACTCGATCCTGGGACCCCGGGGTCATGCCCTGGGCCAAAGGCAGGCGCTAAACCGTTGGGCCACCCAGGGATCCCCGAGCTTATATTTAGAGCCTTTGATGTCTGGCTGGAGAAAGGAGAAGCTCAAGGGCTGGGATGTGGTTCCGAGGAAGGAGACAAGCGCGATGGCATGACAAAATTATTATGAGGTTGGCATCAGAGCGCGAAACTGTGCTATCCATTATTCCTGCAATTAAAATTAAAAAAAAATACCCAGCAGATGGACTCTCACTCTCCAAACTCAGACAAGCAAGAAGTAGGTCTTTTTTGTGTTTTTTATTTTTTTATTTTTTTGTTTTTTCAAAAAGATTTTATTAAAAAAAAGATTTTATGTATTTATGAGAGAGAGAGAGAGAGAGAGAACGAGAACACGAGCTGGGGGGCGGCGCAGAGGGACATGCAGACTCCCCACTCAGCAGGGAACTGGAGGAAATACGTGTTTTTATTTTTTATTTATTTATTTATCTATCTATTTATTTATTTATTTTTGAAATATGTGTTTTTAAATGCTTTCTATTTACACGTTTCAGGTGCTGTTTTCTGTGGCCTGTTTGGTGGCAGGAATCTTACGTCCGTCCGTTGAAGATAGGACCCCGTTTTTCAACAGAATTCCCCAGAGTTCAGGGAACGAGTTAGGTCCACGGGATCACCATCGGTTACTGTTCGCCGAGACGTCCCTGAGGCCCCACCGAGAAGGTAAAGAATGTCTTCAGCCGCGGCCGGAGGAAGCCTTGATGGAGTGGCTGAGCGTTCTGCGCCTCGCCAGGTGTCCCGAGCTACCCAAAGGACCATTCCCGGAGAGCGCTGGGCGGCTCTCCCCCTCTCCCAGGGCTCTATCCCTGTTTCTTGGGGGTGGGTCGCCGTCGGTGTGGACCCGCTGAGTCCACTTCCTCATGTGCATCCGAGCTCAGGGCGGTTGGGCTGCTCGCTGACGTTGGCCTTCGGTCATGGCACGGGGCCTCTGCACAGGAGCAGGTGCCGTGCCCGGGACCAGGCCGGCCACGCTGGGGTGTCACCTCCCACTGCTTGCCCTCCGCGGTTCAGGGTCCAGGGCCCTCACTGTGTCCCTCTGTGAGCAGCCTCGGAGCTGGGGGGTGCTGCACCCACCGACCTTGTCCTGTGGCCGCCACCGTCAGTTCATGGCAGAGAGGCAGAGACACAGGATGCGAATAATCGATGTATTTGCATTCTGTGCAACTATTGGTTTTCACATCCTACTTTCTAGTTCAGGTTCTAAAAAATATTTTCCGAGGGACCCCTGGGGGGCTCAGTGGTTTAGCACCGCCTTCAGCCCGGGGCGTGATCCTGGAGTGCTGGGATCGAGTCACGCGTCAGGCTCCCTGCATGGAGCCTGCTTCTCCCTCTGCCTGCATCTCTGCCTCCCTCTATGTCTCTCGTGAATAAATTAAAAAAAAATGTTTTCCGAGGATCAAAATCCATGTATTTACCTGGATCCCTGCTTCCTCTGTCGGTGAGGTCATGTCATTTTCCTAAAGTCCAAGTCGGTTGTTTCCCGACGCAGCCGTTCTTCTGCGCAAATAATTATCAACAAGTCCTTTGTCATTTGTAAATCGAGGTGACATCCACACACCATAAAATTAGCCGTTTTCAAACGATTCTAGAGCGTGTCGCATATTCGGGATGCTGCGCAGCCCCCACCTGTGTCTAGTTCCAAACGATGCCAAGTTCCCTCTTTTTTTTTTTTTTTTTGCCAAGTTCCCTCTTGTTCTACGATGTATGGACGGCCCCAGCCCCCAGGGGTTTGACTTATAACGTTTCTTGACTTCTTGATGGTACAAAGAGGTGCACATTGAATGGAAACTCTACTTTGAGTTTTGCGTTTGGGTCTTTCCCAGGCCAGCGATGTGCCGGAGACGCCTGCTCGTGATGCGGGCCGTGGCATCGCGTGATGGCCCGGCTCAGCAAACAGCTCACCTGAGGCCACCATCCTGTCCCTGTTTCTCGCCTCCAGCACAGCATCCAGTAAGTCACGTGAACTATTTTGCACGTTGTTGTGAAAGGGGCTTCGTGGTGGATGATTCTGTCCAAGAGTGGGCTCCAGGAAGTGTTGTGAGCACTCGGAGGCGCCGCAGAGCTGCGACATCCCCTAGATTGGGTGCAGCGAATGCATTTTCCACTTAGGACGTTTTCTTTTCTTTTTAAAAATATTTTATTTATTTATTCATGAGAGACACAGAGAGAGAGGCAGAGACACAGGCAGAGGGAGAAGCAGGCTCCACGCAGGGAGCCCGACATGGGACTTGATCCCGGGACCCAGGGGTCACGCCCTGGGGTGCAGGCCGATGCTCAACTCCTGAGCCACCCCGGATTCCCTGGGAATTTTCAATTTACACTGGGTTTATAGGACATAGCACCACGGGAAGTTGAGGAAGAACTGTATTTTATTAGGCCTCATGCTGGGTGGTTTTAATTTTGATGAAAAAAGAAGCGCCCTGTCCACACCCAGCACCTCCCAGAGGGCCTGACCTGCCCTCGCCCTCACTCTGTGTCCGCTCTGCTGGTAGCCTAACCACACGTCTGACCTGACGTCCAAAGCAGATGAGTGCGTCCGATCCTACAGTATCCGGCTGTGGTTGCTGGCATGAGCTAGGGTCAGCTCGGGCAGCTTCTTTTACGATGAGTCTCGTCCTCCTGATTTTATTTTTTTGATGTTTGGAATTGAGCTATGATTGACCCAGGACATCGTGCTGGCGTCAGGCATCCTGCGTGCCTCTCACAGGTGCTGCGCGCTGGATCCCAGGAAGGCCGCCGGGCCCTAAAGGGCTGTGGCCGGAACGCTGGGTGAGGCTGGGTGAGGCTGTGCCATCCCCACGCGTGGGGACCCAGCACCGTCGCTCTCACCTCACAATCTCCCGTCACCTCCCAGACCCAGTAACTCCTGAGCACACGTAGGGAGGAGGAGGATGCTAATGCATGACATCTTGGCCATTAAAATATCAACACGCGTGCAGCGGAGGGTTTGGGTTCAGGTTTCTGTTTGGTGCAGACCCCACTTCTGGACTCCCAAGGGGCAAGGATCGGGGGAAGGACAAAATATCTTCCAAACGTTATTGATTATAGGTGACAGGTGTGGGTGGGAGACACCAGGGCTTGAGTGCTGCCGCCGAGGTGTTTCCGTCGGGCTCCCACACTCCGGCAGGGGGCTGACTATAAGAGTTGTGGGTTGGGTTGGGTTTTTTTTTTGTTGTTGTTGTTGTTGTTGTTGTTGTTGTTTTGGTTTTTTTTTTTTTTTTTTTTTTTTTTTTGCAGATGTTTTCTTTTCCAGCTGCATCGGGACCTTTGAGTAGTTTTTAAAATTTTTTTTTTAATTTTTTTTAATGCTACTTTGAGACCCATGGAGCCAGGACCAAGGGCACAGCAGGAGGGGTGAGAGGATTGTAGAACTGGGGCCTGGTGTGAATAAACAGTGCCTGACAGTTTTGTGGCAGCTCGGCCTCTTGCCCCCGAGGGCTTTGTTGGGTGAGCTGTCCCCGGTGGACTCCCAAGGAGTCTTGCTCCAACATCAGGTGGAGACTGAAGGCAGCACTGCCTTGGCCTGGCGCCACCGCCGCCTCTGTCCATTGGGCCGCTTACCGCTTGGCCCTGTCCCGGGACTTAGCAATGTTGCTGCCGTCCCGGGGTCACACCCTGGGCCAAAGGCAGGCGCTCCACAACTGAGCCACCCAGGCGTCCCGGAACAGTACATTTTTTAAGACTTTTTTTTTTTTAAGATTTTATTTATTTATTCATGAGAGACAGAGAGGCAGAGACACAGGCAGAGGGAGAAACAGGCTCCATGCAGGGAGCCCGACACACGGAATCGATCCCGGAACCCCGGGGTCACGTCCTGGGCTGAAGGCAGCACTAAGCCGCTGAGGCCCCGGGGCTACCCATTTTTTAAGACTTTTTAAAGGGTGTGAAGTCTACCCAGGTCAGCCCGAGGGCGCACTGCCTTCCCGCCCCTGCCCTCGACCCGGGGACTTTCCTGACCACTTGCTATGATTGCTGAGCATGGGGAAACCTTGTTCCAGAAGTGGCTTCCTTCTTGCTTTAAGGGAAAAGCCAGAGGCCAGACACGGCTTCTCAGCAGGGCCCCAGGTACCCTGCTTTGCCTGGCTGGTGACTGTCGCCCCGGTGTGATCACTGAAGCCCCTTTTTCACTCCTAAGTGGGTCCCGTCCGGACAGTATAGGATGTCTCTGGCCACCCCTCCCGCTTCACAGCTCTGACCTCTCGTCGTCTCCCCTTGCCGGGCTGCAGCCACACTGCGCTCCCCACTGTCCTTTGAGCGCCCGGGCGTGCTCCTGCCCCCGGAGCCTTCACACGAGCTGCTGCTATTTCTGGAACACTCTTCCATGGATATCTGCAGGATCGATTCCTTCAAGGCTTTGCTGAACTGCCGCCTGCTCAGGGAGACACAGGCTGACCGCCCAATTCAAAGCTGCGGCCCTCCCTCCCTCGTGCGTCACCGCTGCGGCGTTTCTTCCCTTGGTAGCTCACTATAGCCTTCCCAGTACATCATGTTTATTATTCCTCTTCCTACTAGAACGTGAGCTCTGCAGGACAGTGACCTTGGTTTTTTTTGTTTTGTTTTGTTTTGTTTTTCTGGTCCCTGATATAGTAGAAGAGCCCAGGGTGACTCACGCAGTAACCATCCCTACACCTTGGTTGAATGAATGAGTGAAAGAATGAATGAAAACTTAAGTTCCATTTCCCCAGAGACTCTCCCGGTGACTGGCTGGCCGTAAAGACCCAAGGTGTTTCTAGCTGATGATGACTCACTAGTTAATCCCTAAACTGGGTATCTTTTTCATTTTTATTTCCCAGAGAGACATCGGAACTTTTTACGGCCTAGGACTTGATCATTTTATCACACGGGTTTAAGGGAAATTTGGAAGAGAGGCAGGTCTTTAGAATCACTTAGAAATAATCCCACAGAAGCAACTCTCTATTTTATCTAAAAGACACGCTAAACCAGCAGAAACGGTTCTAAAAGTAAAAAAAAAAAAGAGCATCAATGTTAGCATCATGCTGTGTGGTTTATGGAGCTCTCTCAACCCCACTATCATATTTAATCCTTATAGCAGCACTTTCTATTATCCCTATTTAGTCTATGAGGAAACATAACCTAGAGAGAATAATGACTTTCTGCAAGATATACGGCTAGTTAAATGGCAGAGTGGTTAAGGGACAAAGTGACTCCACACCCCTGGTTTAGTGCCACACTGCCTCTGGTGTCCTTTTCTAAATTATATCAGGATACCCTTTCATTAGTTGTGCCTTTGGGATCTTTGGGAAAGTATACAGGAGACAGAGAATGTCGTGCCCCATAGCATGTAGAGGATGTTGTCCAGGTCCTAATATGCAGCTGGATGGACACTAAAGGAGCAAGGCCATGGGCATTTTCCACCCAGATCCAAATGGACTTTTTATGCGAGGCTTTCACAAGGAACAGAAGAATATTCTTTCTTTTTTTTAAATTTTTATTTATTTATGATAGTCACAGAGAGAGAGAGAGAGAGGCAGAGACACAGGCAGAGGGAGAAGCAGGCTCCATGCACCGGGAACCCGACGGATTCAATCCCGCATCTCCAGGATCGCGCCCTGGGCCAAAGGCAGGCGCTAAACTGCTGTGCCACCCAGGGATCCCAAGAATATTCTTTCTTGTGGCATTTCACAGTCCCCTCCCAGTGTCTTTCTGCCCTCACAGCCATGACAACTATACACATAATAGTAATAATAGCTACCACGTAATAAGCACATTGCATGTCATGAACTATTCTAAGTGCATGTGTTAATTCACTTGCATCTCACATCAGCTCTTCGTAGCAGGCATCATTATTAGCCCATTTCCACAAAAGTTCCCATGTGAGCCCATCTCACAGCTACAAATCGATAGAAAGGGAATTTGAACCCACATGGCCCAGAGAAGTGCTCCGGAAAAGTGCTGCCCAATGGAAATGTTAGCCACATATAATTTTAAATCTTCCAGGAGTTACATTAAAAAGTGAAAAGAGACATTCATGTATACCTGGAGGGTGTTATGCTAAGTGAAATAAGTCAGACGGAGAAAGACAAATATACCATATGATTTCATTTAAATGTGGAACCTAAAAAAACAAAACAAAACAAAAACAAAAAACAACAACAAAAAAAACCAAAAGCAGAAACAAACCGTTCAATACAGAAGGCAAATGGGTGGTTGCCAGAGGGGAGGGGAGTGGGTAGAGGGCCAAAAAGTTTGAGGGGGAATGGAGGGTACAGGCTTCTTGTTACAGGGTGAAGAAGCCCCTGGGGATGAAAGGCACAGCACAGGGAGCACAGTCAATGGTACCATAATAAATAGCCATATCTGGTGACGGATGGTAGCTACACTCGCGGTGAGCACAGCGTAAGGTACAGAGATGTGCGATCCCTCTGTTGTACATCTGACCCCGTAGCATCGTGCGTCAGCTATACTTCAATAATAAGCAAATAAATGTAAAAAGAAATGAATGAAGTCAATTTTAATGTGTTGGATTAAGCCCAATATATCAAAAATTTAATACTTCACATGTAACCACATGAAAATTATTAATATGATAGTTCACAGTTTGGTACCAAGCCTTCTAAGCGTGATGTGTGTTTTACTCTTAGAGCACATCTCAACTTGGTTCTAAAATTTAATCAGAAATACTCAATCTGTATTTAGATTTCAGTAGATGTATAGTTGAAAAGGTAGATTTACATATTCAAGTTATTTCAGTCATATCCAAAGTTTTCCAGTAACCAAATTGAGTTTGAGGGTTTTTTTTTTTTCAATAAGTGTATTTTTTATTGGTGTTCAATTTGGAGTATGAATTTTTAAATTAAAATTAGATACCTGTGTAGCTCAGTCAGTGAAGCATCTGCCTTTGGCTCAGGTCCTGGGATCTCAGGGTCCTGGGATTGAATCCCACGTCAGGGTCCCTGCTCCGCGGGGAGCCTGCTTCTCCCTCTCCCTCTGCTGCTCCCCCTGCTTGTTTTATTTCCCTAATGAATACATTTTAAAGAATCTAAAAATTAAATACAGTGTAAAATTTGCTTCCTCTATTGTACATTTTGAGCGCCTCAGGGTCCCCTGTAGCTGGGGGCTGCGGTGCAGGGTGCTCTGCTGCTCATGCCCGTGCCCGCGACACCAGACTGTTCCACTTTCTGGGAGCGGGCCCCCTGCCATTGTGGCTCAGCCCCATCCGCCCCATTCCTGAGTGGTTCTTAGTATCTTCTCTTCCTGAGCTGTTCAGATCTTCAGACATTCAGCCCATAATTCCCATCTTCATCTCTAGCATTAGCATCAAATGCCCTGAATTACACAGATCCCACATCCTGCTTGGAGAAAGGTGAGCGGCTTCATAAAACTAAAATGCAAAAAACTATGTTGGTTTTCCCTGTTGGATCTGCTTAACATACAAGAGAATTCAGGACACAGTGGGACAATCTCTTACCCAGCCTGGGGTGGAAATAATACCCAGATTGGATTCCTCGTCAAAGCCTTTGCTTAGTGACACTCCAAAATCGCTCCTTTGATGGTGACCGAAAGCCCTGCACAACTTTTTTGAGCCGGTGTAGGCGACTTTAGGAGACAGAGAGGACTGGTACTGAGGAGAGGAAGCGCCACCTACAATTCGCTCTCATGTCACCCATCTGGCGCTCGGGGAGGAAGTCCTCGCCCCTCTGCAGCCCACGGGGCTGAAAACAAGAGGAGAGGATAGATCTGGCCAGCTCTTGAAGGGCCGCTAGTGTGACTGAGGAAACACACTTACTTTTATTTGATTTCACTCAATTTTATTTTTTAAAAATTTATTTATTTATGATATTCACAGAGAGAGAGAGAGAGAGAGAGAGAGGCAGAGGGAGAAGCAGGCTCCATGCACCGGGAGCCCGATATGGGATTCGATCCTGGGTCTCCAGGATCGCGCCCTGAGCCAAAGGCAGGCGCCAAACCGCTGCGCCACCCAGGGATCCCGATTTCACTCAATTTTAAAATCGAGTACACCTACGGCTGGAGCAACGGTGCTGGAGAGCGTGCAGAGCTCCACGGCTCAGGCTCCGCGGCCCCTCCTCGTGCCAGCCCCAGCCCCGGTGCCGGGATCGCTGTAGATGGTGTGTCTCCTGCAGACTGATCCCTCCCGTGGTGAGATGGAGGCTGAAGGCGAGGAACTCCTGTTTCACAGGACCTGGCCGTCCGTGCTGAGGAGCTCAAGACCCTGAAGTCACTACCCTGTGCACAAAAGGTCTTCAGCCGCGAGCGAGCAACAGCTGCAGGGCTTGAGGTAGTGAGTTCCTGGTAGAAAATGCTCCTTCGGCCCCTGCTCTGAGCTCCACTTTCTTTAAAATGCACATCCATGAATTGTCCGAGGGTCTACAAGGTAAGAAAGACGAAGGCGATCCCTCTTGGGCGTGGGATACTACCTCAGAGGGAGCAGGAGGTCTTCCGTTTGTCTTTTGTGTCTGGGCGGCTCAGGTGTCCGCAGTTCCTGGGATGGAAGATGGATTTGCCAATTTAGGGATGGGAGCTCATGGGGTCTGAGCCCCATGACAAGCACTAAGCTACGTGATTTGTATGCATCAGTTTACACGATCCCCGAGTTCCACCATCATCTCTATTTTACAGGTAAGGAAACTAAAACATGGGATTAGTGACTTGCTCCAGGTCACTCGGCGGACTCAGGGGTGAGGGGACTGGGTCTGAGCAGCATCAAGCTTCTGCTCTCACCGTGTTGCCTCGACAATCACTAGTTCATTCCCGCCCTAGCAGGTCGGCCGCGGCTGTGACACCTTGTGCGCGCGTGTGGGTGGGCGTCCTGAAGATGGTGGTTTGCTGCTCAGCCCGGCAGGTGAGGGGAGGACGGAACCAGACGCAGGGGGATGGAACTACCATCTGCTGGGAAAGACTTTGCATTGGAGTTGGAGCCTCTGGTTTCTTCCTGATGAAGTTTTGGGGAAATATTACCAATTTATTTGGTAATTAAAATATATGAAACGGACGCCTGGGGGCTCAGTCAGTTAAGCACCTGCCTTCAGCTCAGGTCAAGATCTCAGGGTCCTGGGATCAGGTCCCGCATCTGGCTCCCTGCTCAGCGGGCAGTCCACTTCTCCCTCTCCCTCTGCCTCCCCCTGCTTATGCTCTCTCTCTCACTCACTTATGCTCTCTCTATCTCAAATAAATACATTAAAAAAATCTTAAAAAAAAACACAGAATAAAATTACATGAAACGTGCAGGTGGAAGGGCTTTATAAACATGAAGCTGGATGCGAATTAAAGGATCTAAAATACTGACACATTGGCCATTAAGCGATGCCAGAGCTCAGAGATTGCAGGCCTCAGAGCTCAGGCCTCAGTGGTTCCCCTGAGATCCGGCGGGGACTCTGACTCGGTATCCTGCAGTTCAAGGATTCATCCCCCTCGAGCACAAAAGAGAAGCCCGAGGGCTTTCTTGCAATTTCAGATTTTCTGTGTCTTAGAGTTGCCCTGATGTCAGAGCAACCAAATGCCTGGGAAGTAACCCAGATCACAAGCACAAAGGAGATTAAAGGCTGGAGGGACATCTTTGTTCATGTCACTAAAGGCCAGTGCAGCCCCTCATAGCCCTGCCCACAGTTGGAGGTCACCTGCAGCCTGTGTGTGCGTCCCGTGTGAGCATGGTTGCCGATACCTCGGAGGCTCCAAGCCTTCCTCATGGCTGGCTCCAGCCCTGACGCGAGTGGGGAGCACTCCACGTGTCTCCCTGGGAGTGCTGATCGCTGTGCTGGTTGTGGTCATGCTTCATGGAAGAGCTAGAAGGCCATGGGCATCATGCAAAGTGCGGAGAAGCAGCCCCACAGAACAAGAATTTGAAAATGTCTCTTAAAGCTGGAGAAGGAACCTATGGGTCAGTAGCATCAAAATCTGTTTTAAAAATTCACAGTGAGGGATCCCTGGGTGGCGCAGCGGTTTGGCGCCTGCCTTTGGCCCAGGGCGCGATCCTGGAGACCCAGGATCGAGTCCCACATCGGGCTCCCGGTGCATGGAGCCTGCTTCTCCCTCTGCCTGTGTCTCTGCCTCTCTCTCTCTCTGTGTGACTATCATAAATAAAAAAAAATTAAAAAAAAATTCACAGTGAAAATGTGCAATTTATTGATTAAACCCTGGATGGGTCTTCCCTGGGGCTATATATGGCACAACTGACAACTATTAAGCTCATACCACGAGCCAGCCTTGGGGCCAGGTGATGTTGGCACATCATCCTGTCCCCCTTCACAACGTTCCGGCAAGGTGGACATTGGATCTTTCTGTTCCAGATGAGACTCAGAGAGGCTAAGCGATAAGCCCAAAGTCAAGAGCTCGTGCCTGGAAGGATGTGAAGATGTGTCCAAGTCGTGCAGTCCCTGCTCTTGCCACTGCACCATCCCTGAGTCCCAGGTGAGAAGTCTTGGGTACCCGGTTAGAGGGAGGTGTCCCCAGCGTGTGGTGCCACGGAGGGTGGACAGCGGCAGAGTGGCACACTGGGCTCAAAAGATAGGGGACCAGGAGCCAGCACCCACTCTTTGGGTAGTAGTGCCTTCTTGGAGCCAAGACCTACTCCAGCAAGATAAGTTACAACCTTGTTTATGGCCGCAGGAGAGATTTTATAAAAATGCACAGACGTGACGTGATGGCTCAAAGTTCGTTGAGATTTAACACGTGGTGCCGTGGTCCACGCGCCCCTCCCGTCTGCAGGTTCTCCGCTGCTTGGCCCCTCCCATCGCCGGGTTAGCCTTGACTTGAACAAGAGCTTCTGGGATCATCAGTATAAAGGATAACTCCAGGCGGTGAGATTTTCTTTTCAGTGTTCTCACCTCCCTCTTAGGGGATGCTTGCTAGTACAGCATGTACCATGTTGCCAGGGAAGTCAGCTGCTGCGGAGTCCCGGGCCCCCGTGGTGGTCTCAGGAGTGAGTCTCTCCACTTCAAGGCAGGTGTGGCTACCTAGAGAGCTCAAGTTACAGACACTTTGGATATCAGAGGACAAGGCGCCTGCCTGCCCAGGTAGGCCGTAGAGGAGGAGGACAAAGGAGGTGAGGCCACGGTGGAGCATCGTAGAGCACTCGGCCGGGAAGACGGAGGGAGCGCCCGTGTGAACGGAGGACTGCGGTGGGGTGGCACCGCCGGGCATGAGCCCCTTGTCCTGCCTCTCTGCCCTGGGCCCAGACGGATCCCAAGGCTCAGCTGCATCCCCAGCAAGCGAGTCAGAACAGAGCCCGGGTAAGCACGGCCAGCTGATGGGCGCCCACGCTCCCAGCGCAAGCTACTCTCCATCCCAGATCTCATGGGCCCCCCCTGGGGAGATGAGGGAGGCCCTTCGGATGCGGAGGAAAAAGACCGAGGCAGCCCAGAGTGGTCTGCACTTCGAGTTACATTGACTACGTGAGTTATGTTAGATCATAAAACACGTGCAACCAAACACCACTCTTCCCAGAACTACGTTAACTGGTAGCCGGTGAAGAAAAGGGTCTGAAGGGCTTGTCATGGGAGGGTCAGGGGTGCTTGCCTCTCTGGATGGTGGGTTCTGAGTGTTGGCTTTTTTTCTGTTTTTGTTTGGCCACATTTTCTGATCTTCAGTTATGATTCCAACTGCTTTCGTAACAACAAGAAAAAGAAAACCGCATGAGCTTAATGAAAGAAATAATAAAATATTTTTTTTAAGATTTATTCAGGGTGTTTTACTTTTTTTTTTTTTTTCTAGCATACACAGCCTAGAACAAGAACAACTAACTGGCTGAAAATAAGTTGAACGTGTGAGATAAAAAGGTAGGACGAAATCCTTAGTTTTGGAAAACAATTATCTTAAAAAATGAAAACCTTTATAAATAGTTGTAGAAGGGTTTTACGGCATGCCAAGCTATTAATACTTGGCACAATGATTCAAAAATCATGGAGAACATCTGCTTTTTCAAAAACTGTTAAATACAGTGTGATACACACAGCACCTACCTGTTTAAGATGGAAATGGTATCGTGGCACAACAAATAGCTACATGCCTGCCACCCAATTTATAAAATGTAGTATTATCAGTATTTCTAAAACTCCCTGGTTGCCCTTCAGTCCCACCCGCTTCCTGCTCCCTTGCAATGGCTATCCTGAATTTTGTGGGTCTTTATCCCTCTGCTGTTCCTTCAAGTTTTGTATCAAAAAAATAATATATCATTTAATTTGTACATTTTTATACATTAAATAAATGGAATCGTATTATGCATATTCTTCTGCAATTCATTAAGATTTATTCATGTTATTATTGTGACCGTTGTCACCATTCACAGTTGTGTAATGTCCCGCTACACAAATCTATGAATATACCACAATTTATTTGCCCATTGGACAGTGGTTACTTACTTTTTTTGTTCGTTTGTTTGTTTTTGTTTTTATGGTTACTTACTTTTTTTTTTAAGATTTTTTATTTTATTTATTCATGAGACACACACACACACACAGAAAGAGAGGCAGAGACATGGGCAGAGGGAGGAGCAGGCTCCATGCAGGGAGCCCGATGTGGATCAGGTCCTGGGCTGAAGGCGGTGCTAAACTGCTGATCCAGCTGGGCTGCCCTATAAGTAGAATCAGGAAAAAAAAAAAAAAAAAAAGACAAAAAAAGACCCAAACTCATAGTGATAGAGGTCAGAGATGTGGTTCCAGAGGTGGGGAGTCAGGCCTGGGGGTCTGGGGGAAGGTGGCCAAAAGGTTCAAACTCCCAGGACTAAAAACCATTCTGAGAATGGGACGCGCAGCTTGGTGACAACAGGTAACAATGCCTCGTGTGTATGTGAACGTTGCTGAGACGGTAGATCTCGAAAGTTCTCATCACAAGGGGAAAAAAAATTGAACTGTGTGTGTCGACGGCCGTTGCGTAGATTTTCTGTGGTGCTCCTTCCACTGCCTGCACGATTATCGAACCATGATGGCCTGCGCACCAAGCCCATGAATATCAGGTCAATCATAGCGGAATGAAATTGGGGGAAAAAACAACCCTTAATTATCTATTAAAGATAATGCCACGCTATGCTCCCAGCACGTCTGCCTCCTCACACTTCCCCCGCAGGAATAAGGTTTTTCTTTTTCTTTTCTTTTTTTCTTTTCTTTCTTTTCTTTTCTTTCTTTTCTTTTCTTCTTTTCCTTTCTTTATTTTATTTTTTTCTTTTCGTTTTCTTTTCATTCATTTATTTATTTATTTATTTATTTATGGTTTTCCGCACCAGTCCCCGGCCTTGTCAGACCTGCACTTGCTTCTCCCCGGGCCTCATGGTGGCTCCGCGTCCGGTCCCTCGATGGCCCGCGTTCGCGGGGCGGCCCGGGGCAGCTGCTCGTCTGTTGGCTGCGCCCTTTGGCCCCTACCTGCAGGTTCACCCCTCGGCGGGTGCTGCACATGGATCCTTTGTCACTTAGGCTCTGCACACGCTTGCTCCCCATTTCTGGTTGGTTCTTCACGCTTCCTCTGATAGGTTTTAACGAACAGGTGGTCTCAATTTTCATGTAATAGGATTTATCAACTTCTTTCCTCCCCCTGGTTTTCATCCTGGATGCTTCACTGCCGTGAAGCTGCTGTTTTATGATTTCACCTAAAAGGGTGAGGATTTTGTCTCTCTCACTTCAGTTTCCAGTCCACTGGGAACTGGTTTACGTGCATTGTTTCCTTTCTACTTCCCACGGAGAGATGCAAGGCCCTATTCACATGGCCCTTCCTGGTCAAATAGGCGCGGACACATTTCATGTGTTCTATGTTCCAGGACTTAACTGGGTGAAAATTAATTCTGCCAATATTTGGTGCATATCTGTCGTGGCCCGTGTAGGTTACCTGAGAACTCTCTTGTGCTGACCAGTATCCGCAAGCCTCCCCTTCCATCCTGGTGTTTTCAGCACATCTGCCTGGTGTTCTCTGCGGCTCCGCATCCACGGCTTGCTCGGAACCCAATCCTGCAGCATGTCTCTCCGCATATTGTTCTTCTGGGCTCAGTTCTAGCCAGAGGTCAAAACTCCAGAGGTGCACATCTCGAAGCACCTGCAAATTCACCGATCAGTGTCACGAATGTGTTCCGTTCTTGGTGATCCATTGCAAAGATTAAGTCCAGTCCGCCCACCCAGCCCCCCGAATCTGATGCGCCTGCCCGCATCCCTCCACCGACCCTCAGGACATTCAGATGCCTTAGAACACTCTGCAGCCAGGAAGGAGAACCGAAGTAACGTGCTCTACCTTGTGGAATCACATACGCCGCCACGGATACTTGTTTCCACCTCTAGATGGCACGGAGGGGCGTGTGTGGGCGCGTGAGCATCTTTGTAATATTTTATTTATGCAGAAACAAACCGGTGTTTGGTTAAGATTTTAGGCCCCGGAGGAAACACTAGCTGGGATCAAATTCTGACTCTTCTACTGTGTCTCCGTGACCTTGGCGGGGGGGGGGGGGGTAACCTCTCCTCTTCACACCTTTGTTTCTCTAGCCAAACCTGGACAGCAGAGTTGTTCCCGTTCGCAGGGCTGTGGTTAGGCCCGGTTGACCCCAGAGCAGCATGAGGATGGACCCCCGGCCTGCGGAGGTGGGGCCTGCAGAGAACGGGATCCAGTCTACTCTGTGCAACGGAGCCTGTCGGGTGGGGTTCCGTCTCTGCCTCGGGAGGTGAGAACTGTGGCGCGCCGTCTCAAACTCTCGGTGCATAGATACGCAGGGACTGTGGATCATCTCGTGGGTAGAAGGTGGTCACTCACTGTCCTCAGATAATGCGACACCGTGAACCAGTCCCTGGGGCGCATTCGTCTTCGACACCATTCTGGTAGCCGGGATCGCACTTTGGCAGGTAACGTTTTCATATTTTACTGTTAAAATTGCATGAAGAGGGCAGCCCGGGTGGCTCAGCGGTTTAGCGCTGCCTTCAGCTCAGGTCATGACCCGGGGGGGGGGGGGTCCTAGGATCGAGTCCCACGTCGGACTCCCTGCATGGAGCCTGCTTCTCCCTCTGCCTGTGTCTCTGCCTCTCCCTCTCTCTGTGTGTCTCTCATGAATCAATCAATCAATCAATCAATCTTAAAATTGCATGAAGATGAGTAGCCATTTATTTAAGTCCGAGGTCACATGTGCATTTCCTGAGCCACCGGCGCGTGGCTTGCCACCTTATGACCACTTGCTCTCCCTTTTTTTTTTTTTAATTTTTATTTATTTATGATAGTCACAGAGAGAGAGAGAGGCAGAGACACAGGCAGAGGGAGAAGCAGGCTCCATGCACCGGGAGCCCGACGTGGGATTCGATCCTGGGTCTCCAGGATGGCGCCCGCCCTGGGCCAAAGGCAGGCGCCAAACCGCTGCGCCACCCAGGGATCCCTTGCTCTCCCTCTTTGAAGAATCTTTCATTCACTCTAAGATCCAGCCTAATCTAAGGCTTTAGTGTGGAAGGAAGCGCTCTCTTTGAGGGATGGGATGCTCTTTGGACAGAAAACCCTCTTTGCTCGCTCTGCCCGTTACCGTTACCTTGTGACCCTGAACCACCCAGGCGCCCCCTTGGGGGTTATTCCTGCCCTCCTGGCGCAGAGGAGGGCCTCACGGGCCAAGTTCCGGGCCAAGTTCCCTAAAGCGTAGGGTTCAGACTGAGATTTCCCACCCAGCTGATTGTCTTCCTCACTTTCACAGCCTGTGTTCCCCCTTGAAGAGGAAACGAGGGGCAAGGATGTCAGGGGGCAGCTCCTCTCTCCTCCCTCCCCCATCCACCCCCTCCTCCCTCCCCCATCCACCCCCTCCTCCCTCCCCCCTCCCTCATCCTCTCCCTCCTCCCTCCTCCTTTCTCCCTCCTCCCTCCCCCGTCCGCCCCCTCCTCCCTCCTCCCGCCCCTCGCAGGTGGAGCTGTAGTTCTGCGCGCTGCCGCCGGGGGGCAGTGGTGCGTCACCTTTCAGGGCGGGCGCTCTGGCTTGGGGCTGCAGATCCCAGCGGGTTCCCTCCGCCCATCACCCAACACCCCTGCCCCCCCTCCAGCTCCTCCTCTGTGAGACCGGGAGGGTCACGTGGCTCACTCTGCACGCTTGTTGGCGAGCCTTTTTTTTTTTTTAAGATGTTATTTATTCATGAGACAGAGAGAGAGAGAGAGAGAGAGAGAGGCAGAGACGCTGGCAGAGGGAGGAGCAGGCTCCGTGCGGGGAGCCCGACGCGGGACTCGATCCCAGGACCCCCGGGTCACGGCCTGACGCCCAACCGCTGAGCCACCCGGTCCCGCCCGCCAGCAATCTTCAGTGTCCCAGGGCCTGCGCCGGGAGGGGAGGGGCCGGAGCTGCGGAGCAGACCCTGTGCATCTCCCCCGCTGCCCCTCAGCAGGGACAGGGACGTGGTGTTTCCTAGACCAAAAGCCGGAGGTGGCTGGAGAGTCGTGGGGGGCGGACGGTGCACGGACTCCCGTCTGGGGGTGCAGGGGGTGTGCACGCCGCGGGGCGGAAGAGCACGGTTCCCCTCCTGGGGGGGCGCCCAGGCAGGTGCTGCAGGGCGGGCCCTGGGGAGTGGAGCCCACGGTCAGCAGGAGCCCAGGCCTCCCCAGGGCACAGGGTCCCGGCCGCCTCCCTGCAGGTGTCCTGCGCCGCCCCCCCCCCCGCCCCTCCCGCCCCCCGCCCCTCCCCGCCCCTCCCCGCCCCGCGCCCTCCCTGCAGGTGTCCCGGGCAACAAGGGAAGCGCCCGACAATGCAGAAGCCCTGGGGCTGGAAGGGGCCGCTGGCGCTGCAGAAACCTCCCCGCCTGTGCCACTCGTCACCACCCACCACCGGGCTCCAGAAGGAAGGCGAAGCCGGGGGTTGCCTTTCCGGACACACGTGGTGTGACGGATTAGCCTCATTAAAAATCCATTAACACATGATGAAAATAAGTGTTCGGATTCCAATACCCCAGTCACCATTCTGGGCCCCCTGGTTCTGGGGTCAGGTGCCCGCCCCCCCCCCCAGCTCAGCGCTAGTTTGGTTCCTTCAGGGGGGCTGGGGGGGCGGGGGGTTATAGGGTGACCTAGTGTCAGGTACGGTGGCCTGTGGATTCCTTATCACAGCCTCGCCCACCGGCCGTCATCCCTACCTTCACCGGGTCTCAGCGGCCGGCCGCACTAGTGGTCCTGCGAAGGATGACGATTGGATGATGGGGACACAGAGGAGGGGGAAGGGAGAGGAGGGGAAGGGGAGGGGCAGGGGAAGGAAGGGGAGGGGGAGGGGAAGAGGGCGAGGAGGATGGAGGAAGAAGGAGAGGGGGATGAAGGGGGGAGGATGGAGGGGGAAGAGGAGGTAGGTGGAGGAGGAAGGGGAGGGGGATGGAAGGGGGAGGAGGAAGGGAGAAGGAAGAAGAAGAGGGAAGGGGAGGAAGGGGGAGGGGCAGGGGAAGGAAGGGGAGGGGGAGGGGAAGAGGGAGAGGAGGATGGAGGAAGAAGGAGAGGGGGATGAAGGGGGGAGGATGGAGGGGGAAGAGGAGGTAGGGGGAGGAGGAAGGGGAGGGGGATGGAAGGGGGAGGAGGAAGGAAGAAGGAAGAAGAAGAGGGAAGGGAGGAAGGGGGAGGGGCAGGGGAAGGAAGGGGAGGGGGAGGGGAGGAAGGGGAAGGGGAGGGGAGGAAGGGGAAGGGGAGGAAGGGGAAGGGGAGGGGAGGAAGGGGAAGGGGAGGAAGGGGGAGGGGAAGAGGAGGAAAGGGGGAGAGGGAGGAGGAAAGGGGGAGAGGGAGGAGGAAGGGGAGGGGCAGGGGAAGGAAAGGGAGCGAGAGGGGAGGAGGATGGAGGGGGAGAAGGGGGAGGAGAGAGGGGGAGGAAGAGAGGAAGGAGGAGGGGGAGAAGGGGGAGGAGAAGAGGGAGGGGAGGGGGCAGTGGGCCAGTGGGCGAGGCCGCGCTGCTGGAGCCGTGCTCCCTGGAGGATGCTCTGCGGGGGCGCAGGGAAGGTGTGGAGGGGCCGGGTCTCCGCGCTGCAGGATACCTGAGGCGGCATTTTCATCCCACACCTGGACGGAGCACCGTGAGCTCGTGAAGGCTCGCCTCAGGGTGGGGGGCCTGGCCATTGTGTCAAGTTGTTCTTTACGCGTGGGACTTGAGGATCGGACGTTTAACAACTGCGCTGTTGCCCTAAGCATATTCCGAGCCCCGGGCTGGTCTCTTTCTTCTGTTTTTTTTTTTTTTTGTTTGTTTGTTTGTTTGTTTTGTTTTGTTAATAAATTAAATTTTTATTGGTGTTCAATTTACCAACATACAGAACAACACCCAGTGCTCATCCCGTCAAGTGCCCCCCTCAGTGCCGTCACCCATTCACCCCCACCCCCCCCCGCCCTCCTCCCCTTCCACCACCCCTAGTTCATTTCCCAGAGTTAGGAGTCTTTCTTCTGTTTTTAAACGCAAGAGAAGCACCACCCGCAGTCCGCGGCCCTACAGGGTTGACATTTGGGTGCATCAGGCAGACGAGCCATTGGGCCTCCTGAATCAGTATGAGGACAGCCAGCGGGGATGCTGGTGGGCGTGGGCGCGGGCGGCGTTGGCTGAGCACCTCCCCCCTTCGGGTACTCCTGGTGCGCTGGGGCATCGCCTTGTAACGCCCTTGTAACGCCCTGTGCCTCGGGGCCCTCGGCCTTCGCAGGTCAGGAGACAGGCCCAAGGTCACACGGCCGGCGGGGCGGGGCGGGGCTTTAGGCCGCCAAGCGCGAGGCCGCTGGAGGGGGGGGGAGGAGACGGGAGAGGGGTAGGGGGAAAGGGGGACGGGAGATGGGGACGGGAGAGGGGGACGAGGAGGGGGAGAGGGGGACGGGAGAGGGGGACGGGGAGGGGGACGGGGGTGACCACGCAGCAGCCGCAGGGGCGCGCTGGCGAGCAGGGGCGCTGGACCCCGGGGGCACGGGTGGGGCGCAGGGCTGGGGGGGCGGGGCGGTGCTCTGGGCGCGGGGGACGCGGGGAGGAGGCGCAACCCGGCCTCCTGAGCCATTATCTGGGACCCTTCCCTGGACGGGTTTGCTGGGTCTGGGCCGTGCCTTCCCGGAGGCCCGCCTGGCTCCCCCTCCCCCTCCCAGGGCTCCCGTCGCCCCGAAGCGCCCTGCCGACTCCTCCCCTTGGGCCCAACTGCAAGCCCGCGAGCTCCCGTGGCGCCCAGGCCCAGCCTCCCCTCACCCTCAGGCCGGCCCTGCCCCCCCGCCCCCCGTCCCAAGCCCTGCGCCATCGGATGCACTTGCACTGTGAGGCCACCCTCATGGGCACCTGCAGACCCGACCCTCGGCCCCCGCACCCCCTTCCAGGCAGTGACCCCATCCCGCACCCACTCTCCGGAGCCACACACCGGCCAGGACTTCTCCGCTCCCCTTCGGACTTGCTCGCGTAGAGGGCAGGCACGCGTGTGTGGGGGGGTGGCCCACGTCTTTTACATGATTCCCGTGTAGCAGGTCACCTCCTCATTCCGAGGTCACACCTGCAGCCTTTCGCGGCCGGGAAGCCACAGTCATGGGGCCCAGGCCTGCCGGTGCCTCCTTTCTGCTGAGGATGGACCTGGAAGTGGCCAGGTGAGAAGCAGGCTCCACGCGGGGCATCTGGCTGCGCACCTGCTCCTAGAGGCCTCTCTGGCTCCCGGGGGGCCTGGGGCGACTGCAGGGTCAACTCCCTGCTCCAGAGGTGGCTTCGGGCAGGTGTCGACATCCCTCTGTGGCAGCAAGGCAGCACACCTGCTCACTGAACCTCGCTCCTGCTGTGGAGCATCCCTGTGCGTGGGGCGGGGAGAGGACAGCCGCTCGCTCCGGGGGTTTCCTTCCCCGAGTTTGGGCTCCAGTCTCCGTAGGTGTGCCCGTGACCAGAGACGTTGATAGTTTCTAATAACACTGCTGTGAGCATGTGCACCAAGTCATCGCATCGTACACCTTTTGAAAAAAATCACATTGTGCAAAAGAAAAAAAAATCAAAGATTTTATT